GGGTACAGGCCTTAACTCCCATCTCATCACATTAATTTTAGGACTTCCCTGAACTCTTTTCTTTGGCTGTCCCAGTACCCCTCCCCAGGCAGAGAGCCCCATCCTGCCTCTCCCCAGTTGGGACAAGATGGGGACTCCTGTCTTTGGGGTGGGGGGGGCAGCAGGGAGCCACAAGCAAGGGACCCAGCAGGGCAGGAGGGAGGGGTAGGAGAATGGAACGTATTCAGTACTGCCCAAGGTCATCACATCCAGTTAGGGACCAGGACTCGCACACCCTGGCATGACAGCAGCACCTAATTTGCACAGAGGAACAATTTACATGTTTTTTGCATGCAGTGGGATGTTAGGCACAGGTGTATGGGGCAGCTGTGGTCACTGCACTGCCAGCACCAAAGGCTTGGCTCCTCCATCCTTTCACAGCCGAGCAGGGGCCTGCAGGTTCTTGGAGCCATGCACCACTCACCAGCCTCAGCCCTGGGTGTGCAGCAAAGGATGCACAGCAGCACAATCAGGGCCCAGTGCTGCGTGCCCCATAGCTGCTCCCCCCACACTGGGGGCAGGGGGAAGGAAGGAAATTAACCTCAAGGCAATTAACCTCAAGGCACTGTTGCTTCCGCAGTATAGAGGAGCAAAGCCAGAAGCTGGAGGTCCCATCCTCCTCTTCCTCCCACCCTTCCCAGGGGGCTGTGCCCAAAAGGCATGTACATCCCTGCTGATCCTGAGGGCTGTCCCCTACCCTGTGCCCCATTAATTCAAGGCTGTTCTGGGGGGGTAGTCATTAGGAAAGGTGGTATTAGGTTCCCCCAGCACCCCTTCATCAGCTCTCCTCACCCTCCTTCAGCTTACAGTAGGTAGTGATGGTGATGTCCAGGGCCAGCTTGGCACTGGTGAGCTCCCAGTACTCAGCTGCCTGCAGCACCATGGCCTCTTTCACCTCGCTGGTGCTGAATAAAGGTGTGTTTGGGCTCAGCCCTGGGTCTCTGCTCTGGCTCATCTGAGCTCTGCTCCTGGCACACTGCAACAGGAGGCTCTTTTCCCAGCTCTAACTGCCTGGTGCCTGGAGGGACTGTGTCAGCCCCAGGGGGGGGGCCACAGCTCAGCCTCCCATCCTCAGCAGGCAAAACCTTGCTAGAAAGCAGGACAGCTCCAGCCTCTACTTCCCCATTAAGGGAGCTCCTTCTCAGGAGTTTCAGCCACAGAACTATCCCACTGCTGTCTCAGAGCACAGCATGAACACTTCAGTTCAAAGACTAGGATTACCAGCAGAAGAAAGCAATTCCCTCTGAGAAACAGTAATTCCACCAAATGCCATGACTAGCTCCAACTGCCCCATGTGACTGCATCTGCAGATGTCATGGAAGGGACAAGACCACATGAACTGAACAAGCTAAAGCCCCACGCAGCCCCTTAAGATAGAAAGATCTCCTTTATTAATGAACCCCAACAGTATTTCTTCAGATACAGGAGTTTTGAACTCAAATACTCAGAAGAAAACAAGTTAATATTGCATTATTCTCATAAGAAATACTGCAACTCATTTCCGGTAACATATTGCAAAGCGAAACAGCTTGAAAAGGAAAAAAAAATTAAAAAAAGGAAAGAAATTAAGTCAATCAAACTGGAATTAAAGTTTTGTTTCTTGGAACGATCAAGTCCTCGCAAGCACAGCTCGTTTCTGCAGATTACTCCCCAAACTTGTGGTACAAACAGACCCCGATTGCTTGAATTCCTTATGAGCCCACAGAGGTGCAACATTAAAAGCTACGATTATCGGGTAGCAAGTGCCCCAACTTTCGTCCTCCACGGCAGCCTCAGTAACCCTGACGTTAACGGGTTGTGAATGTCTTCCCCCTGAAAGGATGCAAAGAGAGGTCAGTGTGGACTCCCGGTGCTGTTCTTTGCTGCATCTGTCCATCCCCAGGTGCCCCAGGGTGTCTATGTGGCTTTTTGCAGGACAGACACCAACGTCTCAAAGCCACGTAGATGCTGCTGGTTCAGAGCTCACAAGCGTTTGTTATGCAGAAAGCACAGTGACCAGCTCTCAGGGCTATGGCGGAGGGTTGGGGGGTTGCAGAGGGGACATCCCCCTTCCCCAGAGCAGCAAGCAAAGAGGAAATGCTAGGACACACACAAGGAGGGCAGCAAGGCGATCTAGGATCAACAGAGGCTAAAGTACACAACGGAAACATGTTCACACCACCACCCTCCCTTGCCCACGTCACTCTGGGCTGCTTTATTCACAAAAGGGAGCCAGTCCCCCCACAGCTGACCAGAATAGTCACCAGGGAACATTTCTGTCCCTTGCTCCCCACGTGGGTGACAGAGGAGTGCTGGTAGTGCTGCACAGTGGCCACAGTGCACTGTGCCGAGAACCTGGCAGGAGACTTGCTGGCCCCTATGAGCAACAACGCTTGCACATTTGGACTGTCCGCACTGAAGGGCCACCTGATCCCACATACAGCTCAGTTGGTGAAATTCCCTTGATTTCCACCTGAGCTCTGGCCTAAGGATGGGCAGCAAAGCCAGTAGGCATCTCCTTGTTGCCGAGCATGGAGAAGTAATGAAGATAAAAGAAAATCAGGGCTGGATGGGAACTGACACCACACCAGAGCTACTCTACGTGCAAGTCAACCAGCTTTAATACTTGCTTTGTGGGGCAAGAGCCCTACAGACCTCGGGGGGGAACAAGGGAGGTACTAGGACTTGCAGAGCAGCACACTCTGCACGCCCTGCCAACGTGGTCCAGCCCTAGGAGTGGCTGGGCAGCATGACACAACAAGCCTGCTGCACCAGGAGTCTGCCTGCTTCCCATGCGCCGTCACCTCCCTTGCACTGTGGGGAAGGGGATGCTGCCCAAGTTGCACTACACACCACCAGGGCTCCCAGCCCACCCTCTGGCCTGCCCAGAGCTGCTGTCCAACAACAGTCCTCTTTAGGGCTGCCAAGGCCCTGCCGCAACCTAGGCAAGCCTGGCTCCACACTGACTGCACTGCAGACAGGTATGAGGAAGACAGAGCACTGGAGCTGGCTATACTATCTCCTTACAACCCCAGACTTCCCATCTTGCCCTTGCAGAGCTGGCAGACGTGCCAGATGGGTGCCCTTCCGCTGTACCTATCCGCTGTCTCATCTCTTGGCCTCAACTGCGCTGCCTGTCTGCCTTTGGCTCTGCTCCCTGTGCCCTGTGCAAGGCTTCTTTCGCAAAGGACTTGCCAGCACAGGGTTTGACATGGATGCTGCTCCTGCAAAGAACAAGCGAGGCAGTAAGCGAGAGTGGTGGAGAGAACGCGGGGTCCTGGGAGGCCAGCACACCCAGATCCAAGCTTTCACCTACAGAGGCACCACAGACAAGTACCTCAATATAGAGCACCCCCTTTCCTTATCAGATGGGTCTCAGCACATCAGGCCCCAAACTGGCCATCCCCACAGCATCCTGATCTTCCCAGGACCAGAGCATGCTGAGCTAAGGAGGAGCGAGCTTGGGGCTGGCAGGGGAGCCTGGACAGCCAGGTCGTGCTCTGCTACTCACGTGATTGTTTTCATTTCTTTCTTCTCTGCGTCTGGACGGGCACGGTTCAGCACCTTGAGGAAATCCGACGTTTTTGCCCTCATACGCGTGTGAATATAGGCCTGTGTTTCATTGGAACAAAACAGGGACACCTCAGCGTCCTGTCTTCATGGCCCAGATTTCTGGTGTCTTTTGCAGCTAGCCAGGGTTACAGCTCTGAGATTGCTCAGGGCTGCTCTTGGAGCACGAGTACAGCACAGAGATTGACTGGCGTTTCTCTGGCTCCCAGCGAGGGACACTACTCATGTTGGCCAGGTATTGCTCATAGCCTGACTCCTGCAGAGCTGGGGCATTAGGAAACCTGACCCACATCCGGCTGCTGTTTGTGGGCATGGGGTAGAAGGTATCTTTCTGCTCCTTGCTGGGAAGACACTTAACTCAGCATGGCCACAGTGGGTGATCAGCCTCCCTCAACCTGCAGGATGAGGGGAGTTTACTGCTTTTAGGAGGTAGTGGTGCAAATTACTTCTTGAGCCCTGGTCAAAGCCAGGTCTTCTCTGAGCAGTTTTCCTTATTTCTAGTCTCAGAAAGAGAGAAAAAGTGAGTTCTCAAAGTGGTCCTCTGCTCCATTCTCCTCCCTAGCAGCACCCAGGTTAGCTAGGCCAGAGCTCCCCTGTTTCCCCCTTGTTCCCTTGGTACCTTCGAGCACTTGATGTGATAGTGCAGGTAGTCCCGGAATGTGTGGATCAGGTTTATGGTGTTGTCTCTGGCAGCAGCATTGGTGTGACGGGGGAACAGCACTGCAAGAAAAGGGGCCACACACACTGTTATTGCCTCCAGAGGCTGCAAAAGGGTTTCAGGGTCCCCCTATGCTGGGGGCAGCCCCGTCTAGGTATGCTGCCTCAAAAGCCTACTTTGCTCCCTGCAAAGAGCCCTTTACTGTGCCACATGCCAGGATTAAACAGCACTTGGGATTTTAAACACAGGGCTTAGCAGCACTTCTCCACTCGCTGTCACGCGCCAAAGTCTCTCCCAGCAGCCTGGACGCAGCTGTGCCCTCTGGCAGACACACAGGCAAGGCCGAGCGCCCAGACATGACAGCTCTGTAGGATACTGCGTGATGCTACTTCAGGGCTGGGGAGAAGTGAACGGGAGAGAGAGCTGGGAGGTAAATGGGGATGGCCAGGCTGCTCTGCACCCCGCAGACACCAGCAAAGTGCTGGTGGACTGCAATCCTGCTGACCTCCCAACAAAAAAGAAGGGTGTTTTTATCTTAAGAGATTTTCCCCTGCTCTTCTCACTAAATGCAGAAGGAAGAAAGTGCTCATGAGTGGCTAACCAAAGCAACAGTGACCCTGCATTGCAGATGAGCACTATGTTTGTACAGGGATTCGGCTTAATGCGACTACTACCTGCCCTCAGATATTGCCCCTCTGGCGGTCATTTGCACCTTTACAGATAGCGGATCA